TCAAGCACCATTGTCAAGATTTAGGGTTTTTTTTGAAAAAAAACGCGTTTACCCCAGCGCTTTCAAACCGCCACACACAAGACCGAGTCATGAAAAGATATGTCACCAGACAAGATAGACAGATCCGCACGACCGTTTTTTTTAAGCTGGCAACATGGAAAACATTTGTGGTAATTGCGGGATAAAGTGGCTGAATTGCGTTGAATTTATGATCCACGAGTAAAATCAAAGTTTTGGGAATGCTGATATCAGAAGAAAAGCTCAAGGCGTCCAGGAAAAATTCATAAGAACTTTGTTCTGATAGGGCAAGGGACTCAACCGCAAAAGAAGAAACTAATAAACATGGAAGGCGTGTTATCATTTGCTCCAAAAGCAGCAAAATATTAATAGATTCAGAATTCGTTGTCAGAGAGGAATCATAAAGTATTCAGAACTGGTCTGCAGGTAAAAGAAGAGTATCGTATATTCAAGTATATGCCTCCTTGCTAAACGACACTTACACTGAAGAAGAAGAAAACCCCCCCCCGGAAGCTTTTTGACCAAACTCAGTGAAAACCATCAGTAAAGTTACAGACAATGATGGCTTGTATGTGATGGGAGATTTCAACGGGACATGTGGGAGAACGTCGACCTCCATGGTCCAAATATAGGGGACCATTTAGTGACAAAGAAAATAAATGTAACAACAATGGAGAACAATTACTCAATGTATATGTGAAGAGCATGAACTAATTATCAGCAACCCGCATATACCAACATAAGAGAAGCAAGATATTGAACTGGTATAAATGGATAATTTTTTTTTTATTAACCAAGCATCACAAGATAGATTTTATTCTCACAAAAAAGAAGCGGACAGATGGAGAATAAAGAAACCCAGGGCCATCCCAAATGCAATAATTAGGACTCTGGACCATTAGACCTGTAGTACTTTGGAGCCTATTAAAACAACAAGAATTTGCATTGATAAAAAACCAGCTCAGCAGGTTATATGGATCAGCTTTCCAGCGATAGCGGTCCGAGGCTAGAAGCCCTTCCAATTTGTCGCCCAAACCGCACACGGTTAAAGCGCGAATTAGGTTCAGACTGCGTGAGTTTTTAGTTTCTGATTTAGTTTTAATCTAAGTATTTTTAGGTTATTTTGTAGTCCTTGGTGGGAAGTACAGTAATATTGGGGTTGGCTGTTCCATGACTAATTAATAATCTAATTAGATATAAGTTGAGTTGAGGTAATTATTGTTAATGTTTGATATAATACTTATGTAAATATAATAAGTGTGCGAAAGGCACGCCATAGTTTCGGAGTCACGGTGGGCTCTTCATTATAAGAGTTTAATTTGGAGAGGTTTAATGGCGAACAGGGAATGCCCTAGCAGTTTTCATTATGAAAGCAATAATTCTTATTGTTTACAGGCAAGTAAGGATTAAGTTAGTTCTATTATTTCAGGCTAACTTAGTATACGGCTATGATTTTAACACAGGTAACTAAGGATTTGACACGGTTCTACAAGCCATGGTTCTACACGAGCCATGTGTACACACAGGGTCTGCTACAAATGGCGGCGTGCCACGTTCTACTGATACTGTACTAAATTAAATTGTACCTCTAAATATAGGGGCATCTCGTAAGGAGATTCCTTTAATAAATTACTGTCAGGGTTGTAAGTGATGTTTCAGCTGTTGGGTTTTATGTAATATATAATTTCTTGAGGTTTCAGCAACATGAAAGGGGTTATGTTACAAATAGGAATTAGGGGATTAGAATATAAATAATGCATTGTAATATTTCGTACAGAATGACAGGTGGAGTTAGGAACATGAGTGCACTCATTATCTATGATTGGTAATAATGATAAGCGGACGATTCATAACTATTGTTGTTTGATACACTTTTGGGCATATAGGGCTAGACCTATATTTTATAGAACTAGCACTTGGTGGGTGAGGTGGTCAGCACCATGCCGGCCGCTTTTACTTGATGTGGGGTTTTTGGAGTAATGGCACTCAGGATAATTATTGGGTGTTTATATGTTGTAATCTGACATTATATAGTGTTATGTATTTTTATAGACTATTGCTATTATCGTGAGATGTGTTGCACATCTGCTGTTGCGCATGTTCCCAGCCTGGTAATTAAACCCAGAGCTGATTGTGCTAAATGGCACTGATGACCTCTATCGCAAATGATATTGGACACTATATGCCTAGGTCAAAAGAAGCAAAGGTATCTAACTATGAAATATGTGTATGTGTTATATGTTAAAGTGGACAGGGAGTCATTATTCTGTTTTTCCCTACAGATAACGGTACTACCTGGTTGTTGGTCTGCTAGTAGTTGTCAGTATTTTGTTATTCATTGATTTACTAGTTGCTTGGTTAGTTCTACTGGTCTGCTCATATACGTTCAGTTAGTAGTTCTTTAGTATATTTAGTTTTTGGAGTGTTGTCAAGAATTATTGTTATGTCATCAACAAATAAAGTTTCTGTATTCGTCAACTTACATTCGTGTTATTTTAGTTAGTATGTCTAGGTTTTACTGTTAAACTATATTAGACCCCACACAGAAGATTTGCTGCCAGGGTGAGATACTTTGATTTTACCCCCGCCTAAACAAACTTTTTATCTTTTCTTTTCTTGCTACTGAGGCAGCTTATGGTTGGGTTTGGCTCGCCACGTGACATTGTTGAGAGCTCTTGTAGGTTCGGAGTCGAGATTTCAAGGAGTAGATTTCCATATTATCCTTTAGTTATCTCTTCTCTTCTCCCTTCATCACAAGTTAACCCCTCCTCTGCATTTGCTTCTAGTACAAGTGGCGTCATCGGCAGGATTAGGTGGCCAGTATTTGTTTTGTGCGTTGTCTAGATAGTCCAGTTTGGCGTAGGATTAGGTTAGGTTGCTTTTGGAATAGTCTGTGCTAGGGTTTGTCTTGTGGTATTGCTAGTGGAGACCAGGTAGATACCCAACATCCGTGCAGTGCTGTACCTGGAGGATTCCCTTTGACGTGTGAGGGAATAGCTGGATCATGAGTCAGCGTTCAACACGGTCTGGTGCCAGAGAGGGGCAGGAAGAACCCCCATCTCTTACATTGGGGACAAATGATTCCCACCCAGTGTTCGCTCCCAGTCATGAGCTCGCTGAGACAGTAAGGTATGTTGTGTTACCTACTCGTCGCAACATCAGGACATTTGGCAGTCCAGGTGGCCCATCGATTGAAGATTATTTAAGGGAGGTGAAGGCTGTCTGGAGAGCGTGCGCAGTGGGGACAGCAGACAAGCTTGATGTCGTTTTAGACAGCATCACCCCTACTGTGCGACGGGAGGTAAAACTCCATTGTTCAGATGATGACCCAGAGGCCATGCTGGAGGCAATGTTGAAGATTTATGGGGAACACAAATCCCTCCAAGAACAGATGGCGGTTTTCTATACAACAAAGCAGGGAAGCAAGGAGTCTGTGATGGAATTTTCACACAGGCTCCATGCCGCATTTGAAGCCATAACAGATGCACAGCAAAGTGTTGGTGTGACTGTCATGACCCAGCAGGTTCTGAGGGATCAGTTCATTGCTGAGCTGCGCAATGAGCTGACCAAGCGCATGTTAAAAGAGCGAGTACTCCAAGAACCTTCGCTGACATTTTTGGCAGCTAGGGACTATGCCCTTAGGTGGGCGAATATAAATAATGAACTTCACCTGCAGCCCCGAGGTAGAGACATTAATTGTGCCGTGGTTAGTCAGACAGAGCCCAGTGTATCAGGCCCATCAACTAGAGCGCTGGGAGACAAGATCGACTCGTCTAAAGAACTGTCGCTGTTGCGAGCACATGTCGCTGGCCCGAGGTACGACACAAGACCCAGGCAGAAAGTGATCCGTTGTGCCAGATGTGGTGGTCTAGGCCATTTGCAAAGCCGGTGCAGACAGGCAATAAACTAGACCCCGCTATGACTAGGAGTCAGGTTGCAGCCGGGGAGCGTGTTGGCTCACAGGTGAAATTAATAGGCGGTAGACCAGAGTGTAATGTGACTATACGCAACAGATCTGTTAGGTGTATTTTAGACACAGGTTCACAAGTGTCGACCATCTCTGAAACATGCTTTAACGAACTGTTTAGCGGAGTCCAGTTAGAAGTAGAGAACTTTGTCAAGTTAACTGCAGCTAATGGTACCAACATTCCATATTTAGGCTACCTGATCTGTAATGTAAAAATAGGTTCCACTTATGATTAAAAATTGTGGTGTATATGTAGTTAAAGATTGTAGAAATAAAATGGTACCTGGAATTATTGGCACTAATATTTTAGCAGCTGTGCCTGATTTATGTAGATATTTAAAGTTAGAAGATTGTAAACCGGTTGATCCACAACAAGAAGTTAACCAGATTAAAGTGTGGGTTGTGGGAGGCAGCAAGATCCATGTGCCTGCCCATTCAATGGTAGTACTACAAGTGAAAGGTAGAGTGGGTATGACTGTAGATAGAAATGTACTTTTCGAACCGGCCAGGGACTTGGAGCACAAGGGTTTGATTTTGTCCCACACTGTTACTGTACTGCGACATGGTGTATGCCTAGTCCAGGCCATCAACATGGGGGACGAAGACTTGTTCTTGGCAAAAGGCACCCAGGTCGGTGCGATTTCAGATGCCACAGTAGACTTAAGCAAGCATTTTAAAGTAGTTGGTGCCCAAGAGGTCCAAATTTTGTCATCACCAGTTAGGGGGCATGATGAACCAACCAAATGTCCCATTGACCTGAGTCATTTTGAGGGTAGCGATAGTGAGAGACAGCAGCTAGAGGCATTGATAATAAAGTATGACAGTCTCTTTGCCAAAGATGACTGCGACATTGGGTACACTGACAGGGTCACCCATAATATTTCTTTATCAGATGATACCCCTGTTAAACAACCGTATCGTCGGATTCCACTAGCGTTTTACAGAGAAGTACAGGACCATTTACAAGGGTTGTCAGAGAAACAAATTATTAGAGAAAGTTCCAGCCCTTGGGCATCCCCTATTGTGTTAGTAAGAAAGAAAGATGGTACCCTTAGACTGTGTGTTGACTATAGGTCCTTAAATAGTAAAACAAAAAAGGATGCTTATCCACTTCCCCGGGTTGATGAATATCTTGATGCCTTGGGGGGAGCAAAACTGCTTAGCTCTTTAGATTTACCAAGTGGGTATTATCAAGTCGCCATGGCACCAGAGGATAGAGAGAAAACAGCATTTAAAACGCCATTCGGTTTGTTCGAATATAATCGAATGCCGATGGGTCTTGCAAACTCAGCGAGTACATTCCAACGGCTCATGCAGTGTACGATGCATGACCTTTTTTTCAATGTTCTGCTTGTATATCTTGATGATATTTTAAAATTTTCAGGTGATTTTAATGATCATATTAATAGGTTAGAGAGGGTGTTTAACAGATTGTCCTCACTGGGTCTTAAGTTGAATCCAAATAAATGTAATTTTTGTAAACCTAAGATAGAATTTTTAGGACATACCATTTCGGCTGAGGGGATTGGAGCTGTAGAAGAGAAAATAGCAGCCATCCAGCAAGCACCCATTCCGAGAACCCAGACTGAATTAAGAGCTTTCCTAGGCCTTGCAAGCTACTACAGGAGGTTTGTTCCAAAATTTTCCACGGTTGCACGCCCATTACATGAACTGGTTGCCCAGTTAAATTTACAGGTTGACAAGCATAAGAAGAAGAAGAACCCTATTGGCGAGTTGTGGTCTCCTGAATGTGATGATGCATTTAACCAGCTAAAAGGGGCACTAACATCTACGCCGCTGCTGGGCTTTCCAGATTTTTCCCAACCCTTTATTTTAGAAGTTGATGCCTCATACCAGGGTTTGGGGGCAGTGTTATCACAGATTCAAGGAGATGCAAAGAAAGTTTTAGCTTATGCTAGCCGAACCTTACGTCCCTCCGAGCGTAATGCTAAGAGTAGTCTAAAGCTTGAACTTTTGAGCCTGAAGTGGGCGATGACGGAGAAATTTAGAAGTTACCTCTTAGGTTCTCAAGTTGAAGTTTATACTGATAATATGGGTTTGTCATTATGGAAGAAGGCAAGCTTGGGTGCTATAGAGCAAAGATGGTTAGCACAAATGTCTGTTTTACAACTACAAAATTCAACATAAACCTGGTCGAGCCAACGGAAATGCTGATTATTTGTCACGCTATCCGATTGGTGAACCAGAAGATTCGGATGAGGGAGGTGATGTTTCTATAAACCATATTACTTCATCACCGATTCCTCCAGAGTTAGGTTTGAGATCTTTAGACAGAGAAGCTAATTTGAATGTAATTGAAGTCATTCCAGATGGAATTTCTAATGTAAACCTTAACATAAATCATAATGATTGCTCATCACTACCATCTTATTCCATGATTGAGTTAGTCAAATTGCAAGAAGAAGATACAAGTATTAGCAGAGTTATGGAAATAATCCTTAACAGCGTGAGAGTGTCCAAGGGAGAGATGAAGAAGTTACCACTTAGTGTTAAAAAGCTGCTTAGGCAGCGCAAAAGATTGCATATTGTAAAAAATTTGTTGTATAGAAGAATTAGGGGGCGTAGTGGTGCAGATGTTTTGCAGCTTGTAATACCAGATGCTTTGAAGCATAGAGTTTTAGAATCTGTCCACAGTGTTGGTCACCAGGGTAGAGATAGGATGTTGCATATTCTTAAAGACAGATGTTTTTGGGTTGGTATTACCGGCGATGTAGAGAAGTTTTGTAAACGATGTGCTAGATGTAACATTGCTAAACCACCTCACATAAAAATACAAGGTCCCACTGGTAACTTGTTAGCATCAAAACCATTCGAGATTGTTGCAATTGATTTTACCCTACTTGAAAAAGACACCAAGGGGTTTGAAAATGTTTTAGTAATTACTGATGTTTTTAGTAAATTCACCATTGCTGTTCCTACCAGGGATCAGAAGGCATCAACAGTTGCCAAGGCACTTGTTGAAAAGTGGTTTTTGTATTTTGGTGTGCCGCAGAGATTGCACTCTGATCAAGGCAGAAATTTTGAATCTACTATTATTTCACAGCTGTGTCGAATGTATGATATTAAAAAAAGTCACACAACGGCATACAATCCAAAAGGTAATGGCCAGTGTGAAAGATTTAACCGCACTTTGCATGATTTGCTGAGACCACTAGCGGCCAGTGAGAAAAGGAGATGGTCCGACCATATAGCTGAAGTCCTGTTAGCGTATAATTCGACACCTCATGCATCAACAGGGTACTCTCCATATTACTTAGTGTTTGGTAAGGAGCCTAATTTGCCCATTGATTTTATGCTTAGTTTAGCAACTGATGAGAGTGGAACAGAGAGTGTAGATGGGTGGTTGCAAGAACATTTGGCACGCTTGCATGAAGCTCACTGTAAGGCAAACGCTCATCTCAAGCAGGCGGCAGCTGTTAGAAAAGATAGATGTGACAAGTTTGCCCATGGCATACCACTACAGGTGGGTGAAGTGGTTAGAAAGAGACTACACTATAATGAGGGGGCAAAAATCAAAGATATGTGGTCTGTAGAGAAATATGTAGTGACTCGGGCACCAGCAATGTCTGGGGGCCCTTATGTAATAAAGAGAGTTGGTGTAGAAGCTCCAGTGATCAGAGTAGCTGGTCATGAGTTGAAGCGCTGTGAAGAAGATGCTGCTAAAGAGGTACCTGTGACACTTGGATTGCCTGAGCATCCTGTGGTCACAGCCGATGAAGATTCACAGTCAGAGTCAGGATGGTATATTTTCCAACCAGGAGATTTAGGTGTTCGGCGTTCAGGTAGAGCTCGCCACCCTGAGAACAGGCGGAAGTGGGGTGAGGATTTTATATATTTGTAGTTGCATTTTTTTGTAAAAATGAGTTGAATAGAGGTAAAGAGGAGGTGATGAATTACTGAACTTGTTTTGGGACTCCCATATTTTCATGATTTTTCAATTATTTACATTATTGATGTAGTTTTTTCATATATGTTCATTATACATTTTTGTTTTGCTTTGATTTCAGTGGCATCCACTGATGTATTATACATTTTTTTTTTTTGTTTTGATTTCAGTGACATCCACTGATGCATTTTTGATTGCATATTGATAATGTTGCAGATGTATTGTGCAAATGTATACTACGTCATGGAATTTTTGCCAGTGGTTATGACCCCTAATTTGGTGGGATGTAGGATAGTTCAAAAGGTTCAATAGGCAGTGATCTATTTTTATTACTTGGTTGTCGGGACGTCAACAGATTTAGTATGGGAACGTGTAACAGGCTGGCGACAGAAGGTAGATTTCTGGCCTGTTTATTTTAGTTTAACAACCTATAGCTGCTGGCACTGGCCAGGTGGTTCGGTGGAACTCTTCAGTATTGTCCAGCAGGTCACGTGAGTCCTGAAATGTGATAAAAGGCCTGATTCTGTTAACAGTTTCCCTTTCCAGCGATAGCGGTACCAGACGCTAGAAGCCCTTCCGATTTGTCGCCCAAACCGTACACGGTTAAAGCGCGAATTAGGTTCAGACTGCGTGAGTTTTTAGTTTCTGATTTAGTTTTAATCTAAGTATTTTTAGGTTATTTTGTATTCCTTGGTGGGAAGCACAATAATATTGGGGTTGGCTGTTCCATGACTAATTAATAATCTAATTAGATATAAATTGAGTAGAGGTAATTATTGGTAATGTTTGATATAATACTTTTGTGAATACAATAAGTGTGCGAAAGGCACGCCATAGTTTTGGAGTCACGGTTGACTCTTCATTATTAGAGTTTTATTTAAAGAGGTTTGATGGCGGACAGCGAATGATTTGGCAGTTTCGCATTATGAAAGTAATAACCCTTATTTTGTACAGGCAAATAAGGATTAAGTAATTCTATTAGTTTAGGCTAACTTAGTATACGACTATGATTTTAACACAGGTAACTAAGGATTTGACACGGTTCTAAAAGCCATGGTTCTACACGAGCCATGTGTACACACAAGGTCTGCTACAAATGGCGGCGTGCGACGTTCTACTGATACTGTACTAAATTAAATAGTACCTTTAAATATAGGGGCATCTCGTAAGGAGATTCCTTTAATAAATTACTGTCAGGGTTGTAAGTGATGTTTCAGCTGTTGGGTTTTATGTAATATGTAATTTCTTGAGGTTTCAGCAACATGAAAGAGGTTATGTTACAAACATGAATTAGGGAGATTAGAATATAAATAATGCATTGTAATATTTTTATAGAACGACAGATGGAGTTAGGAACATGAGTGCACTCATTATCTATGATTGGTAAAAATGATAAGCGGACGATTCATAACTATTGTTGTTTGATACACTTTTGGGCACATAGGGCTAGACCCATATTTTATAGAACCAGCACTTGGTGGGTGAGGTGGTCAACACCATGCCGGCCGCTTTGACTTGATGTGGAGTTTTAGGAGTAAGGGCACTCAGGATAATTATTGGGTGTTTATATGTTGTAATCTGACATTATATAGTGTTATGTATTTTTATAGACTATTGCTATTATCGTGAGATGTGTTGCACATCTGCTGTTGTGCATGTTCCCAGCCTGGTAATTAAACCCAGAGCTGATTGTGCTAAATGGCACTGATGACCTCTATCGCAAATGATATTGGACACTAGATGCCTAGGTCAGAAGAAGCAAAGGTACCTAACTATGAATTATGTGTATGTGTTATATGTTAAAGTGGACAGGAAGTCATTATTCTGTTTTTCCCTACAGATAACGGTACTACCTGGTCGTTGGTCTGCTAGTAGTTGTCAGTATTTTGTTATTCATTGATTTACTAGTTGCTTGGTTAGTTCTACCGGTCTGCTCATATATTTCAGTTAGTAGTTCTTCAGTATATTTAGTCTTTGGAGTGTTGTCAAGAATTATTGTTATGTCATCAACAAATAAAGTTTCTGTATTCGTCAACTTACATTCGTGTTATTTTAGTTAGTATGTCTAGGTTTTACTGTTAGACTATATTAGACCCCACACAGAAGATTTGCTGCCAGGGTGAGATACTTTGATTTTACCCCCGCCTAAACGAAC